TAATGATTTTTATTGAACTTCAATTAATCATGTTATCTTAAATTTATTCCTTGATGTTAAGCCAATATGTTTATATCACTTCCAATGAATCCCATTTAGTCAAGTTACTACTATGTTATAAATTAATGAATATCACCCGTTTTCCACATAATTCAATGATGACTACAGAGGCAGCAAATATGTAATAAATTCTTTTTACTAGGGAACAGCTTAAGCAGGTGTCACACTTTCAAAAACATTTCAAACACTTACAACACATTAAGCCAGAATTAAGCCAAAAAAATAATAATAATTTAAAATACTCTATGGATTTTTTAGCGGCCTCTAGCAGTGATGTTTCAGAATGCAACAAGAGTGCTCGTGTGCTTGTGCGTGCTCGATCTGAAGAGTGAGCATTCACTACCGGCCACACGGAGACTTTCAATACACCGGGCGAAAGCATCACTCAACATGCTGGAAACTAATGTAGACTCCCACTGCAGTTAATAGCCTACTTTTATCAGCTTGATGTTGAACTAATGCTCTGTGCTCGTACCATGATAATGTTACAATAAACTGCATTTAGCCGACATGTGATGTTATATAGCATAAGCCATTTCACTAACTATACATGTATCTTTCACAATCAGCAATGTCAACAAAGGTGAACGTATAATATGTTAACGAAAACGGTTAGTGAACTAAACTAAACAGTTTCAGTGTATCAGTAAGATCGTAGGAAGTGACATTACTGTACTGAACGTGTCTGGAAATATGTATAAACAATATGATAGTAGTGGATGAGTGACGTTAGTTAGTTTACATCCTAAAGCACCGACTTTTTGTTATACTGGAACATTCTTTTGTATTCATGTCATGTTTCATGTAGTTTTGCTATTTCACTAGAGTTTACTAATATGTTGTCGATGTTGATCCACGTTTTCGTCCGGAGTCGATCAGATTAACGTTTTGCCTGACGAGCTTCAGCAGATAAAACTTTTTTTTGTTTTTTATATTTATGTGGAGTTTGTGTTGGAGTCTGTGTTGTGCTGGAGGCAGGACGTTTTGGGGGGTTATCAGACTTCATGTCGTCAGCTAAAGTGCCGTTGGTCACATAGACTGTAGGTAGGATAGAGAGGCTCGGGAGCGCGCATGCACGTCACATCCAATGGATTACGCAGAAAATCCAACCTGGAGACCTCACATATAAATATGAATATTGGCCTTCAGAGGTTATAGCAAAACCTGAAAAGTGGATCAAAGTGTAATTACAACCCCTTCAAATACAGGCAATAAAAAAGGATTTATTTTATAAAAAAAGTTCCATATGTAAGCAATAAGGTATGAGAGGCTGTGCTGTATCGTGAATAAGTAATGGCTGAAGGGCGTTGTTAGGCACGACGCGAAGCGGAGTAACCCCTTCAGCCATTACTTATTCACGATACAGCACTTGCCTCGAGTACCTTATTGCTTTTATAAAACGGTTGCCACACAATATTAAAGAAACGGTCGCCACACAATATTGCAACTTTCATGTAGTTAAATCAATAAAAACATTCCTTCCGCTAGAAAAATATAGTCCCTGACTGTGAACAACAACATTCCAATGTGTAATATACAGGAAAGCTCAAATAAAAACAACAAACCATTCTCAAACTTTGTCTCATTCTTTTTATTTTTTTACAACACAAAATTTGTGAAATTTCCTCACACAAATAAGCATAGCTTATCTCTCAGCAAAATACAAAAAAAAAAAAACAACAACAACAAGGGCACATATTTTGATAGATAAAAGTTAGGTCTTTAATCTAGTTATTAATTTAGTTGCTAAAATGCTGCCTAACAAGAGATACTTTATTTATTGTTGTTT